ATATTTACGAACAGTATTTAATCGTTTATACATAATCTGTACGAAAGTTTTGTGTTTCACATAAGTCTTTTAATTATAACTCAATATGGAAATGTTTGCTTTCAAGCTAAAAACTACGAGTGGTTTATAATTATGCCATATAAAGAGATTTGTGGTATATTAGTAGAGAAAATAATAAATAAAAAATTTAATATAAAGGTTTTCTCATCAGAGATTCATATACCGATGAAGACGAATAATATATAACTTTTTAGTGCATTGTTGTTTGTTCGTTTGCTTCGTAAATAAATACTATTTTTAACCCTTAAATATTAATAGTACGTTCTAAGACTGTGTCACTGGAAAATTATTTCAGAAATTCGCACAAAATGTAGTTTATGAGATACGTGTTTTTAAGTTTCATAGGGTAATTTAAATTTATATACTGCGGAGTCCGTGTAAGGTGACGTGTAAAATTATTATTTGAACTTATCAAAATTAAACTAAAAAAAAACCATAGTTATTATTCTATATGGTATTTTTATATGTGAAAAATAACACTAGCAGTATTTTTTTTATTTTTTTTTACTCCATCCAATCTTTAGTCTTTCTATGTATGTACTTACCCTATTTATATGTTTTCCTTACGGTCTAGGTAATATATAAATCATTTATGTATTTTTAAATATTATACTGGAAAGAGGAACTACCTATAAATGATAAGTTTTGAGTACATATTATAGAAATTAATAGAAACGAATAAAATGTCATCGTTACTTCTCTTTGTGGTTAAATGATTTTTTTAATTGTAAATAAGCAAGTAATTCCTGATGATGATTTCTGCGTATTAATAGTAAATTTTGTTACATGTTAAATGTACACATTCCTCTTGAAATACATAAACGCAACAAACTAATAATAACATAAACTAAATCTGTATTCTTATGGGTAATTATAATTTTATATATATATATGAAATCATTTATTTATAAATTCGTGAGTAATTGCGTCAATAACATCTCAAATGGCTGGTGTATGTTCACCTGTAGTTAGATGTTAATAGACAATTTGTTTATATTCATCAAAGTTGTTGTGATCGTGATATTTTCTCGTTTCTCTGAAACAAGCTATTCAATCGTATCAGTTGTCACGGCGTCGCTAGGACGGCAGCCGCGGTTGGCGGTTGCCATGGCGACCCAGCGGCTCCACGTACCCCCAGCCAGAAAGAACCGGGTGGAGGGTACCCGATCAATTCTCAGCTGAGGAAACCAGCGACCGTCTCGCTTCTACATAACATCTTCGCGCATTTAAACAACTCATTTGTTAAAAAGTATTACGTTACGTGACATTTGTAAACATAGCATTCATTAAATACCTATATTGAATGTCTGTTTTAAATTGTTTTGAGTTTCGTATTTTTTCTTTGCGACGAATTTAATGAATTTAGATTTTCTCTGATTCGTATGACTTAATTTGTGTGATTTCAATTTTCATTCAACAGTTCTTGTAAATAATATGGAGTTGGGAAAAATCAAATTATAAGCTTAGCTTTTTAAAATGGTATTCATTATTTGGAGTAGTTTATTATACTTGAAGATAATTAAGAAATGAGAAAATGTTTTAAAACAAGAGCTATTCTAAAAAAATGTTTATTATAAATAAGGTGATTCATTCCGTAGATTTGTTTACCATTTCATAAAATAAAATACTGTTGAATCAGGTATTACAAGTTTAGTAGGCAAAATATATCAGATATATTTTTATTTATCATTGAAATAATAGACATATCTAATCATAATAGATTAAGTACTTAGGATTGAATTTCTTTTTGAAATCTTAACATTCTATTCATGAAGAGTGCCGACAGAAAAATATGTAAACACTAGGCATCCCAAATGTTCTTAGTATATCAGCGATAATAAGTCATCGTTTCTGACGGACAGTTACCAAAAACAGAGGTTGTGTAAGTTCGATGGCCGTAAGCCTAAAAATAGGACTCCTCGTGTGCCTACAATTACATTGGCTTTTCTATCTCGTTTATTCTGAAATTAAATGTTATAGTGAAGATCACAGGAATATAAATAGCTTGTAAATTATATCTTCACCAACATGTAGTTAAACATTTCATTAACAACATAATACTGTCTGTCGCCCACATAAAAACTGATTATAACAAATTACTCTAAACTCTATTTAAAGTTTTATTATCAAATCAATATTTAAAAATATAATTGTCTATTTCACCTACACATGGTTGGTATTATATATGTTTAAGAGGCGCGTAAGAGGTGTGAGTAATATGTTTTAATTTTATTACAAGTTATAATAAAAAAACTTATAATAATTGGAGTTATCAGAATGTACTTTATCAACTTATCATTAACTAGTGACGGAAACGCAGAGCATTTTTTAGGCTTAATCATGTCAAAAAATCAATAACTTAAAATTTTACGTCTTTAATTCTGGAAATCCTATTTGTTGTCCTAGATTTTTTGGTTTATTTTTCAGTTTTTCGGGTTGCAGGTCCGAAAAAAATGTCGATGATAAAATAAATAAGGATGTATTAATACTATACATGTCGAGTTCATAAAATTATAGATTTAAAATTAGATCTTTATTTATTTACACTTTTTTTACTTTGCCTTGAAGAGAGAATAATGTACGTACATTCGGTAGGCATTTATTTGGCGGTTTTTAAAAGTCGTGCTATTGTTAAGAGAACAAACAAAATGTATTATTATTGGAATATATTTTTGAATTAACTAAACATAATAGTGTTTTTACAGAATAAGAAAATAAACGAACTGAAAGCTATAAAAAGAAACAGTCTTTTTAGGAAAATATAAATTTTAGCTGATACACATCTATTACAGCAGTGTTGCTTGTTATTAGAGTAATATAATATTTTTCTTAGTAATTTTACCGTTCGTAATTCGTATAATAAATTTGCGAAAAAAAAATATTATGTAGAAACGGAAAAGGTAGAAAATATAAGTATAATAGAATGAAGTAAAACCCTGAATGCTTTTCCCCACGTTATGATTTTACAGGAGAGATTTTCGGAATTTTATAATTATAATTTATGCAACTTTTAAATTTCATATAAATATACCCATAATTTTTAAGTATGTACTATATTGGTTGAAATTTTGCATTATACAGGGTGACTGGTGAATTACTATCAATATTTAAGGAAAATACTCGGTACATGATTCTCATTCGAATTATGTATAAAAAATAGGTAGTTAATTTTTGACCAAATTTCCGTATAAATAAATAAAGTGTGGACACGTTCCAAGTGTGGACGCGTGCGGCGGCGTGCTGATACAACACCACGCGTATGTGTGTATACACCTAATCTGTAGGGTGTTCACACGATGCGTAATTAATTACATAACTTTTGGTTAACTTTACTTAGAAGTTTATTAATATTTATGTTATATTAATTTTTATTTTGTCATATATGATCGTCAAATATCACGTCCTCTAGTATCGATAGTAATTCACCAGTCACCATGTATATTCATACATTCAAAATATATACATCTTGCGTTATTAACAAACAAGTGCATATTGAATTTGTCTATAAAGTGTAGGTACATGCAACAGCTAATTAAATAAGTATGATCTCCATAACCCATATAATTTACAATTGTTCATATATTTTATTTTTGGTAACAATAATTGGTAACCGTTAAGGTAAATTATGCTACAGCTTATGTTAAGCTTAATTTGGATGTATTTCATAATATCTGCCGAATGATTTTATTTAATCAGATGATTTCATTTAAACTTTTTCATAATATAAAAATAACTTCAATTCCTAATTATTTTATTACTAGTTTTTGCCTGCGACTTCGTCTGCTTTAGTTTTAGAATTAGTAATGTATAGCTGACCGGGTGAACTCTAATCCTCCTTAAAGAGAATAAATAAGATTTTGGATTGGTTGGTCGATTTTGATTTTGTATTTGGAAGATATAAAAGGAACCTACATATGATGTCCTTTTCCCGGTTCTACGCTGTCTGTCCACCGATATTCAGCCAAATTCATACAGCTGTTTTTGAGTTATAAAAAAAAGTAACTAACACTATTTTCATTTATATATAAAGACAGTCATTGTGGTAAGGGTCTAACACGATTTTTATGTTCAATACTGCTAGTGTTACATAATTATATATGCTTACATTTATTTTTTTTACATTATCAGCGTATTGTTACTAACACAACCACGTAGCAATGTAATGTCATTTCTTTTCATCGTTATTCATTTTATAATTTAAGTGATCGAAATTTAGCTTCCATTCTTTAATAACGGTTAATATTAACAAATATTAGGCTACAAGGAGAAATCATACCCTTACGGAGTTTTTTTCAATCAAATATGAGACATAATTAATTCCAAATGTTCAAAATAATTTCACTTTATTCATTTATTTGTCGAAATTCGAATGATTGCTCATAATTCCAGATGTTTGCAATGAACAGACAGACTATCAATTTTTCTTTGTATTTCCATTTTATATGCAAATTAATAAGTAAGAAAAACGGTACCTGTCAAAGTTTATAACTCAAGGGTGTAATTGATACCAGCTATCAAATGTACGAACATATGTTATTCTTTACGATGTCAAAAGTTTTTTTCTTTATAATAATAATTTTTAAGGTAAAAAATATATTTATTAATTCATTATTATACAATTTATTTAATTAAAGCATGTTTTTTATAGACACGCTGTTGTATAAGCTATAGCAATATATAAAAAAAAATCCTAATAACTTTATTCAGTTCTAAGATTTTATTGAATTATTCGCTTGATATTGGAAATTTATTTTCAAAGGGCAACGACCTTCATAGTGGATGGGGTTAAGAATATTATATGAGTTTTCTTATTTTTTATATAATATATAAATATCGTTACAATAAAAAAATATGTATATTAAAACAATTTAATAAATATAGTATTACTACGTGAAATTTTAATAACTGACAATCAGATTAAAATACTGACAATTATATGAATGTGTGGACACGTTTTAGCGGGAACAAAAAAAAAACATGACCTTGACCTCGAGCATAGGCCTAACCTGCCCCAAAAGTGTTGGGTGAAAAGTTGCCGGTCGATATATGTGATGTTGGCGCAGGCGCCAGCAGCGTCTCCATACTACGTGACATCGATCGCCTTAGCACGTGACGCAACGACGCACTTCATAGGATTCCTCTCAGCCACTCTGACTAATGACTGAGTAAACAATACATAGCAACAAACAATACAGAATAATACAACAAAGATGCTACCATATTAATACATCTCATTCATAATCATTGTACGATCGTTGGGTTTGAACGTTTCAATGACTTAAATCACCGAAACTTTACTTAACATTTATAATTGTTACATTGCGTATATTTATAATTGATTAAAACTAGTTTTTCGACCGTTTGATCGTATACTGATATTAATTTTATTATATAAAATATAACTCGATATATTATTTTATAGAGGCCTTAATAAAATAATAAGGTAAAAATTTGATTAGAACGCAATGTTTGTTAATTTTACCACGCGATTTGTGTTTATTTTATAAAGTGTATATATAAAGTTACATTATATAGTACTGGCGTCGTTTCCACTTTCTTAGAGGCATGTCCCATGATCGACGGCTGTGACCTTGAAGCCGGAAGACAGGTTTCTGCGTCCTTCAGAGCATAACCGAGACTGTAGAGTGCTAGTTTATCTTATCTTAAAGCCACGTTTAATGTTCCCATAAAGAATTACTTAATGCACCTTTATTGTGTTTCCTTTTATAATATAACATGTATATTTCATGTGCGATGTGTATGAGTCATTAAATTAAGTCGTTATACACAATTGAAACGATTTGGAATAGATGTATTGAAAAAAATACAGGTGTTCATTTATATAAGATATTAAATTAATATTTTAAATTATAGAAAAGTAATTAATTTAACATATAATTTTGCTTTTCTTTGTAATGTATGGAATTTATTTTGTTAGAGAGTTTTAATAACACGTGAGTGTTGTGAAAGCTTTATTATGTTATGATAATTGTTATAAGATATGAACTACTCATCTCTTATTTTGTAAATCATAAATTACAAACTTACTGATTTAAAGTACTCTTCTGAAATTAATTATGAAATATGTTTGTAGTTTTTATATGATTAATTACTTAATTAATAGTAGTGACTAATTATAAAATATAACTCTCCGAAATTATATGACGTCACAAAATATCTTTGTACTGTTTGTTTTTAACGTATTTAATGATTTTCATCAGACAGAACATCCTTATATTATTTTATGTGGGTCACATTCATTATCATTTAATTCTACGTACGGTTATTGAAATACCTCTGACTAATGTCACAAAACAGAACAAATCCTTCGGCAATTCAAGGAATTTTATAATACGTAATTACTATACGGCCAATGATATAAAGTTGTGAAATTCTCATCGACTTAACGGACGACATATCACTACTTTAACCGAGACGTTGAAGGATTTCTACAAGGATTTCCTTGTTCAACCAAACTAGCCTAGTTGTATTTTCTGTTGTATATTTTTTATTTTAAATCCACAAGGCTACACTAGATATACGAAAGCCAAACATCACATTCTAGATTGCTATTTATAAGAATGATCTGAAAAATGTCACCCGGTCCCACAACAATATGTTACGCCACTTAAGAACTTATTACACGTCCATTTTGTTATTGAGCAGTACTCTCCCCTGAGGTTTCATAGTTATTAATCTGCTGAGGACAGTTATAATACAATTATTGTCTTGATCATGTTACAAAAATATTAAATGTCCCTTATTAACTATACGTAATTGAGTTTTGGATGAATAACATACATAAATAGTTAGCCAGATTTAATTTAATTTTTACTAGAATTTTTGATACTAGTTTAGGTGGAATAATAGTAATTATAGACTAGATAGAAATTACAAAAGTCGTGGTAGCCTAAAGGTTAAAATTTCGCCTCTCGTGCATGAGAGTGCGGATTCGACACCTGGAAAGTATGTACCTACCAATGTGTTTTTTTCTGAATTATATGCACTTTCTAAAAGGCACTAGTCACAGGCTATGAAGGAAACAATCGTGGGGAAACCTGAATTGATAATTTCAAAATCAGATTGAAATCTCCAATCAACTTTGAGCAAGCGTGGTGATTAATGCTCTAACCTTCTCCATGTGAGAAGAGGACTTTGCTCAGATGTAGGCACTTGTAGGCTGACAATGATGAAATAGAAATTACATTTTATGTGAATTTATTTAAAGAAAATGAATCGTTTTTTCCTAAAATATAAAGTGTTTATATGTTCTCAAGATGTTAACCGAACGAAATATATCTGTATCGTATATATTTAAGTGTAGTTGTATGACAAGATAATAAAAATTTTACTGCTCCGAACTTTATATGAACCTAGTGTTAAATATTGTTACCGAAAACTGATAGTGTTCTCGTGTTTTCATTCATAAGCATTGATAAAGGTTGCATAACCGCGAAATGAATGGCCCTGAATGAAAGAGCTCTAGAACTATGTCGGTACATTTTCTACGAATGTTAACTAAGACACTTTGATGTAAAGCTTCAATACTCAATTGTATATACTCATACAATAAATTAAAACATCTTTTATCAATAAAGAAAATTCTTTATTACGTAATTTCGTAAATTTTTAGTTAAAAAAGACTAGTTAAATGAGTTTCAAGTACGACTATCGAACTGAAGGTTACGGTAACGTACATAGAATGTAGTTTAGTAAACTTGTTAGGAATATATAACAGATGTCAGGTAGCGGAGGAAGGTTTAAGTTTTCCTCAACTAAATACTATGACTGTAATGTGATTTAAGGAATATTCTTAGAATTATTTTGTGGGAGCTAAAAATATTTATTTAGATATTTAAAAACTACTACAGTGAATCAGTAAAATTACAAGGAAAACATAAATTGAAAATTCTATTTAAAATATTTAATTTATAAAAGAAGGTTGTATAAAGAGAAAAAGCCCACTTGTGATAATAACTACATATCTTTAAAAATATCTAAAGTATCAATCTAGAAATAAAAACAATATTAAAGGGAAATAGAGATTTATTTATAAAATAATTATTAACTCTTATAACATACATTAATATGAAATATCAATATTATAATGAAAAAATCACCCATTTATTATTAATACGTTATAAAATTCTTCTGGGAAGCAGTTACAATAATAATTGTGTGATATTGTTTTATTTGTACGTCTAATATGAATCGTCATAGAGTGCGTTTCGCTCAGTCGGTCAATGTCATTAGCGTTTCTGTGGCTGCCTGGCTGGAGAGGCCTTTTTTTTGTTGTAATAGGTCATTATGGACGTATGTGTCAAACGGTTTATAGGTTTGTGAGCGTTTTAGAACATACGTTTGTATCGAAGACACCGGCGAAGCGGAATTAAAATGAAGTGCGCGGCTCGCCGGGGCCGTGTGCCACGTCATTGCCGTGACCCAGTGACACACATCGGCGGGGCCGCTTGCACCGATATCTGCACAGGCCGCGCGTGTTCGCTCTTCCTCCGATGATACTTTATTCAACGTACACTAATTATTTGTTTATCATGTGCATGCACAGAGGAACATGTATAGTCTTTTGTTATAATAACAATTTTTTTGTTCCTTTTTTGCTTGATTGCCGTCATTTTACGTCGCATTGTGCGTATCACGTTTATGGTGCGTGATTTATTTTGAAATACTTAATGGTGTTTTCTGAGGATTTATATACAGTACAAACATTTTATAACAATTTTATATATTTACTATACATATACAAAATAAAACTATTTATCCTCTTTATCTTCAAAGATGTATTAATCATTGCTTTTTTTTAGAGTATAAATAGTATCTTTGATGTTGTTTATGTGACCTAATGCTGAATTTTAAATCGGTAATATCACTAAAATAAGTTATGCAATACGTTGACCTTGTTATCTAAATTGTGCACTTGACACGAATACTGTTCCATTTCACTTTCATGTCTATGGATACACTTGTGGCCGTCGCTATCCGCTGCTTCAATAGTGTGCGATAATATTTGTTAATGAAATGTTACAGTATTAATCATTCTACTCAGCTCTTCGTATATATACGAAGCTACACGGAATCATTCGATTGGGAAAAACAAAACTGTAAATTTCCATATTATCATATTCTCATATTAATTACTTTCGTTTTATTTTATAAACAACAATGATTTTAAATCGTTATTTATCATAATTTCAACAATATATATTCGTACTTCGTCGGACGGAATCGACAAAACGTAGTTTGTGAATCGTGTTGTAGAGTGAGAGGGAATGAGATTCACTTGGTCGGTGTGACGTGGGTGCGAATATAACAGCGTTATGGTAGAACCAGTCTGCAGTTACCGCTCCCCCTCCACCCTCACCGGCCGTGTCCCTCTACCCCCCTCCCCTCTCCCTGCGCCGCTCCGCCGCGCGCACCGACCCTGTGTCGTATCGCGCCGCCGCCGTACTGTGTTGATAATTTGTGATGTAGACAAGGATGTACATATATGTATGTCTCGCCTTTCAGTTGACTTTCATCGTCGTTTTGTAGTGAACGTTTCGCACGAGTATCGATAGAAAATTACATTACTTTATTAGCTGCGTAATCGAGTCTGTGCATGGCTCACGATTAATGACTGTATGAATAAAAACTATCACGAAATTGGTTTGTTAGATTAATTGAAACATTAAAATTTATGCGAAAAATTAGCGTCACAGCAAGCGTGGCGCAATGCAGTGTGTGTTTGGATGCAGATATAATTTGTGTTGTTTGAGAGTTATTCATGAAGATTTTAGTTTTGAAAGCGGTGGAAGTGTAAAATATTTGTGTAAACTGTAATCATGTTGCCGATGGTTCAAGCAGAGCCTGTGCTGTTCAATAGCGCGGGTCACTCCGCCGATGGTGCCTCGCCGACGGCTACCTTACCACCCTCGTTGACACCTGACTCCGAGGTTGAGGGACTGGCTGAGTTTTTTTATGATATAGATGTGGCTGTCGTTAACACGTTTTCAAGGTAATTAGTGATACATGATTAATCTCAGTTTCGCCCTTGTTTGATATTGAGACACGAGATAATTCTGCGTCTCGAATACCGGCTGATAAGGGTGTGTTCTTACACTCGGTTAGCTTTTATTCCTTATTTGTTAGTTGTATGAAAGTTGTCGTTTATATATCGAATATTATATATTAAAATAAAATATAAAATGTTACATATGAGTGTCAGTTTCTGTAATACCTATGTTAATGAAACTAAATATGTCGTTATAAGGCCGGAACTGAGGCCATGTGCCGTGCTGGAACAGCTTGTGTAAGTTTTATATTATGTTTACATTTAATAATATAAAAGAATCAATAACATATTATGTAATGTACTTATTAAGCAAGTGTTTTCGCTTATTATATTAAGATCATATAACAAACGTTTCGTATGTTTATTTTTTTCTAGAAAGTATGTCGAAATCAATGTCGTGATTGAATCGTAGGTGACGTGTTTAAATCTTAAGGCTTAGTTTTATTTTTAATTGAAAACTATTATAAAAGTATAGTTGTAAATTATTTTATGTACAAATATAATACCTATTTTATCTTATAACTTATAAATTCCGTTTTTTAGAGAGTACTTTCTCTAACCTTAGCCTATACCCGATACTATTGTTCACTAGGTGATAAAATAGAAAGCGGCACTTGAATATTAAACATTTATAGACCTGGCAGTACAGATTCGTTATTTGAAGGACATGAAGTAGATTATCTGTTAAACACAAGATTTCTACTTGAGAGTTGAATTAAGAAATTAGAGTGATGAACTTTTTATCTGTTTGCAGAGTCCTTGTAAGGCAATTAGATCTTATATGACGAACAAACAATCTTTGTTCATGTAATTAAACACTAAACATATATTTTTCTAAATTCAACAATGGAATTAGTAGGAATTTATGAATCCATTCTAATTTTTATTTTAGCAAAACAATATTCTACATCTTCAGTTACAACTAGAGGTTTTTTTTTTTTTTTCACGTTTCATAATTTTAAAAAAGTGAGTCATCAAACCACTACCTTATTTTTGACGCCAATGATCGAATTTTTAATAAATATTTACTCACTATTTCAAATTGTTGTAATTTTTTTTAATATTATGTAATTTATTCTTTGTCCTTTATTTTAAAGAGACGGGAATCCGTTTATAAATCGATTGTGATTTTGTTTTTGTCATTTAGAAGTGTAAATTCAATTTAATTTTGTAATTGAATTAAAAAAAAAATAGACAAGTTAGTGGTAGCGAGGTTTATTACTAACTTTCATACATTTTGCAAGGGTTCCGTGCTTGTATTCATAATACTGAAAAGATGTCTATTTTTGACTAGGTTTCATCCACCACACTAACAAATTTCAGTTCATTCTGTTTGGGTGTAAAAATGTGACGTACTAATTGAATCACTTTCGCATCTATTTGTAGAGATTATAAAAATGTTTTATTACCGTGATCGTTCATTTCATAACAATATTCATTAAAGGAAATTTATATGTTTACAAATGTCTCATTGTAATGTATAATGAAGTGTCTATAGTAATATAAACAAAATAACATATTTTATGATCATTATATCATAGTAAATAGACTGTGATCAAGATTAAATATACATTACTTGGTAGCGCCTAGCTGTAACTAACTGCAGGTGATTTATGGCTACGATCAAACGGAGTGGTGCCATCTATTCAAACACAATGTACGTGAAACCTTTATATATATTTTTTTGGCTTTTTCATTCAAGGAGCTAAAAAGGCGGAAGCTCTGAATACAGATTACTAAACCCATTAAATTCGTATTCTTTTGTTTGTTCTTTATATTATGCCAGTTTTTATATAATATAACAGAAATTGTATGACAGATGTTCGTTCTAATTATATCAAGGGTTTTACATTTTAATATAGCATTATATTTGTTCTGTTACGGAATCCGCGTAATTATTATGGTAATTTATTTTTAATTGGAAAACATGTATGTTTCTCGGAACTTTGTAGCAAAAAAATATATGTATTAAAAATAATATAACCGGCATCTATTTTATAAGTATATCAATTAATAAGCCAGTTAAATAATATTTATTATTTTTATATAGCGTCACTTATTTAGTATGTTACGATCGAATGGTAATATCATCAACTTATATTATTATTAGTACCAACTGGTTGAAACTCGACCACAATCAGACAACTTGCCAAGGATTGGAAAGCATTTTGAACACATTGTTCAATGTAGAACTGAAATATCTGTACAAAATAACATTGTATTACTATACAATGGTGACACTAATTGCCAATAGCTATTAAATATTACGGTACAAACGGATTTAATAAAAAAAAATTTGCTCAATAAACTAAATAGTTTTAAATATAATTCGTCTAGACGAAGAGAACAAATCCAGGGTATATAACAAGCTTATTGTGAGAAAGCTACGCTAACTAAATGTTACTTGGCGTTGAACTAATCGATTTGTTCATAATCAGTATTCTTATCGAAATCGAAATATGTGCCAATATATTAAATTAAAAGTTTCAATGCATTTTCTTGATTTCGCATAATCTTATAAGTTTTTTTTTTAATTGGAATTTTTCTCGTAAGACGATGTATGTGGAATGTAGTTTTGATTGATTATATTTAGCTGCATTCTGGTCGAGATATTATACATATAATATCGTTTTAATTAAAGTAGCTTCAAATAATATTTCGTTGAGGAGGAAAGCTTTAATGAGTTTTATTTAATATTCAAAATTTAATTTAATTTCATTACTCATTTAATTTTAACTCGCTACGGGCATTTTTATTATTAAAAGATCATAAAGATGGCTGTTTGAGACAATTTTTCATTTTAAATACTTGTAGAGTATTTAAATGATAGATATTTTCGGCGAATCATTCCTTCATCAATATCATCTCAATCAATAATCTCATATTCATCCGTCTCCTTATAAATGTGATGACATCAAGTTATTTAATGACGTATACTTTTTTTTAGTAGATGACGTCATTGAATTAATTATTTCGAGATATATTTTAGATCGTAATAAATGAGTTGTCAAAATATATAAGAAAAATGAATTAATTTTATATTCGTTTAGTGTATTTATATTCCAGCTTCTATTTAATTAGTCATTCATATATTCGCCTCCTTTTACCCTTAAGATAATAACAGTGAAAGTAGATAAACGTTTCTCTCCAATGTTTCATTTGTTACTCAATAGTTATTCGTCATCGTGGGGTAACATAACATTCTGTTAAGCTTTTACCTAACAAAGACTTTCGAACTTGAAATCCTGTTTTCATTAATTACGTATATTTTTACCTGTCACACCGACAGCTTCATGACCACTGTTTGCGTCAGTTAAATCTGTCTTTATTTAGTCCAAGTTAATTCCTTTATATATACGCGCCAATTGCATCACTTACATTAGTCTTTAGTACCTAATATATATATTTTTTTCGATCTTCGACAGTGAAATATCATAATAAATTCATAATAATCGTAGCCCATAACCGTGCATGAGACTCAACGTCGAACAGTCACACGCGAACAAAGTTTCTCTCTTTGGTTATGCAGATAATAAAATCGTTACGTTATATGTATCTGTAACCTTAGTTTTATAACAATTCGATTTCAGATATTCAAGGTTGCATTGTAAGAATTTTCGATATATTTATTGAAGAATTCAAACATTTTTGCGAATTGTTGATATTCTTTTTTTTTTCTTTTGGTGAGTCTCATGGCGCGTTGTTATTCCGAACATTATTATTTCAAGGTTGCGCAGTCGCCCGTCACAGTGAGGTTGCGTTGTGGGGCTCCTCGGTCCTCGGCAGGCGTCGCTTTTGTATGTCCGTCTCACTTTAGCATTCAACTATGTACTTGGCATTCGCTTAAGGGTTATCATTCGCGAACATTTACTATTTGATAAGTGTACCATAACTTTAGATTTAATTGATTGCATATAATTCTTTAATCACGTTATTAAGAGCAAAGCAAAGAAAGGATTCGACTGAGCTATGCATATAAATTGTACAATAGTATTTTAATCCATTTCATAAACTGTAAAGATTTGAACTAAATAAATATTGTCGAAATTAATCTCTATCCTCAGAAAAGATTTGAAGGCTGTAAGTGTAGTTTTTGTTTTGCAGATAAAGGGGGTAACATATTCCTTGTTACGTGTGGTCCTTAACGTTATAATAATACTGTTTCACTAATACCTGGAATTTATAAAGAAAACAAAAACAAACTTGTTTTATAATATTTTTTTTCGTGATAATCTTTCGGTTACGTTTACACAAAGAAGGTCAGACATAAGTAGAACAAAGGTTTTTCAAGCGTACCACGAATTTATAAAGATCTTTTTCATCCGTATTTAGATATAATTTAGCCTTTTGCAACTTACGGTGTAATTTATGTCGTTTCTCATATAAATAGTCATTTGTTATATGAAGATAGTTTTATAGTGATAGTATAATAATGGTACGTTATGTTTTGCTGCTTCCGTAGAATCGAATCCTGTGACCTCCAACCGGGAGACACATGGAGGGGGATGCAGGGCAAGATGAGCGTGACCGCGCCCGGTAAGAAGATAAGAAAAAAGTCGTCAGACATTAAGCCACAATCTCAACAGTACGTATTAGAGATTTCAATATAAACGATATAATATATCCGAGATTGTTACATGTCTACGGGCAAGCGATTTTATTTTGTTTTTTGGTTTTATTTTTGTTCCATTTTTAATTTTTGCGTTGTAAATTAAATTTGAAATTTTAGGTGTCATTGATGTGTTATCAATCAATGCGTCATATTAAAAGAAAATGTATGTCATATACCTATTCTTTTCGTTATTAAAAACATAAAACTTATGTATCTATCCTAAGTTTTAGCCCAAATACGTTAATTTTTATTACATTTTATTTCTGTGAATGTCAACGTTGTCACAAATTACAACTAATTCTATAAAGAGTGGACTCGAATCTTTCTAATTAGCTTTAATTAACATCTTTAGGGCGGTCTTGAGAAAAAACAGACATTTTTTTTACATTAATTTTATGATGAAATAAACGTGTTTTATATAATATTAACAGATTATATTAAAACGTTATAAAAATGTATTTCGCGTTACGAATCTAATGACTGACACGGCGGACTGTCGGTACTGTGAAGCAGGAAACGATTTCGTTGATAGGTATACGGTTCTAGATTAATAACTTGTTTTGGCACGCCATAGTCTAAAAATTTATTCCTATATCGGTACCAATTACACGGATATCAGCTATAAATATACATTAGACTGTGAAAATTTTAAGTGGGAATCTAACGATTTTATATATTTTTTTACATTATTTGAAATATATAATACAATAAATTTGTGTGCCTTATATATTTTCCTTCTATAAAAGTTCTATAGTTTTGTTAGACACTTTAAAATACAGTCTTAACATTAATATCTTACTTGCCATTAATAATTCACTATTTAATACTTATGCATATTAATTTTTACTTTGATTTTATACATACGGAGTCGAGGTAAGCGAATATGTTTTCGAGTGAAAGTTTAATTTATTACATAAGATGAAATGCCACTTTACATAACATTATGGATATTATAAGTGTCCATTGTTATGTGAGATTTAATTTAAATTTGCGTTAACGTCTAGCGTAATAAGAATGGCTCCAGATGCGTGACAAACGCGCGTATGTTAAAGATGCCGCAATTATGATTGCATATAACAGTTATCTGAGAGCGATACGCTCTTATATGCAATATTACAAACTAGATGTGCTCCGGAATGGACTTTTTCTTTAATTCTAATACGTATACGTAATTATTAAATTATAGTAATAGAAAGTAGTTAGAAAATTATACGTAACGCCTCCATTACTGTTCTATCAATTGTTATACATTGAACGTCACAATCGCATTAATTAGTGGGTTTTAATTCATCAGATAATGTTTTTATTTCATGGTTGTTTCGTTTTAAATTTACGGTCGTCGATTTCGTACAATAAAACGTGTATGATTATTTACAGGAACAAGTGTCACAACGAGAAGCGTCGCCGTGAACTCGAGAACGAAGTTATAAATCAGCTTGAAGAACTGTTAGGTACATGTCTGGCGGAGGTGAAGCAGCCTGATAAGAACGGTATAGTGAGAGAGGCTACGCGGCAGATAGAAGACGTACTGCAGCGGCGGCGGGACTGCCCCGGAGACTGTCCCCTGCGCGTGCTCCAATGCCTCTCACCAGTACAGGCTGGGGAAGTCAGCTCCACTCAACACCAACCTTCAACAGGATTCCAGTACTCCGAGCTAAGCACCCTTATTGAGGTATCCTATTATATGTATAATCATACTATAATGTCTATCTATATATTTATATCTAGAGTTCTAATTTTTTGTATGTTTGCAGGCAATCAAACATTACACCGGCGTCCTGGGTTTAATATTAATGGAAATTAACTCGAAAGGCGAAATCGAATGTGTCACGGAAAATATTAAAGATCTTATCCTAGCTGAAAGGACGGAGTTATTTAAAAAATCAATATTCTCGCTATTGCATGCCGATGACCATGCTAAAATAAAGCCGTTGCTGAGAAATATACAGAACTTCGCCTGGGGCTCTACGGAATCTGATAAGTCTCAATACATTCACGCCCGCCTGCTCATAAAAGACGCCAATGTGACCGATGGTGACAGGTTAGTACTGGATGTATCGTCAACTGATTAATATGAAATAAATAACGGTACAATATAATATTATCTGTTTCGTGACACACAAGTAATAAAATTACAATGCGTGTTCCGCCTTCAATTCTTATCAATACTTTGATTAAGTTAACGTTACTCCATACCGTACTAAGACAAAAGATTTTCATTTTCGCAATTTTATTTCAAATGTTTTCATAACATTTATAGGTCAAATATGATAATATATTGAAATTTGCATTACAAATGATAAAAATCTGTTTTATGTATCTTTTATAATGCTGCCTCAGCTTACGCAGTAGTGAAATAAACTTCATAGAGGTTTGACTGTAACTTAAGAGTATAGAAAAAAAAAGATTTTTTTCTGAAAAGTGAAATAGTTTGATTCGGAATCGAAGTCCAATGGTACAAAATAATAACATTTTCTGCGGGTGCTATTACCAAAAAAAATTTTCACGTGGATTGTGTTTGTCAATATCATTACTTACTGCCTCTCTAATTCTTGGTAACTTCAGAAGGCAGAATATTGTCTAACTCGTTGAAGATGTATAGCAATGATATGTAAGATCCTCTTGAGTACACATTTAAGAGGTTTTATTATATAAAGAGTGTTTGTTTAATTCCTGTGTCCAGTTTCGTGGACACCGTGATCCACGCTGCGCCGGTGCGCGGCTCGTCCACGGAGGAGGCCGGCTCCGTCATGTGCGTCATTCGGCGCTGCGAGTCGGCCGCTATCTCCAACGACGCCGTACCTACCATCGTCTTCAGATTGGACTGTAACTTTAATATACTGTGTGAGTTTTATTACATGAACGGCTCTATTAAATTTGGACGGTCACCAAAGTTTGTTCACTCCTAGCACTGCAGACAGCCGTAGACTAGGAGATATTTGCCAGCGATGTGGTATAAAAAAATGAGTACGATGATTCCGACGGCTCACAGAACTTAACGCAAGAGACCACAGCCAAATTATCATAAAATGTTTTAATTTTTAATGGCTATCTTTGAAATTTTTGTAATTTACTATTAAACCTCCAGATAAAAAAGATAGAATAGATAGAATATCCAAGATAGAATAGATAAGTTCACAAACCACAATTGAAATTCATACATAAGACTTTGACTATTTATTTTCTTTAATGAATATAATAATTATAAGTATTCGTTTTAACGAATTTGATTTATCAAAATTTATTTGCAACGATGCAAAAAGTTCATGAAACCATAATATGATTATGAAAACAAATAATGATTAATCCTATTATGTGCCGATACTCTGATGCGAAGCCTTGAGTGCACCATATTGAGAAAGTTGAGAATATATCTTTTCATTGTCCGCAACAGGCTTGTTATTAGTTCATATTAGGTTATCATGCTGCTCCGTACATTTTCGTTCGTGAATGTTGTATGTGAAGTAGGCTAACAGTATATAATTTGTTTCAGCCTGTGATTTGTCCGGTGTCGAAAACTGTATGAACTCTCCTGTATCTCTTTTGGGAACTCGTTACTTAGATCTCGTTGAGAGTAGTGATCGTGCCCGTGTTTCCGCTCATCTTCAAGAAGTAGTGGCTCGAGCTGGTCTGTTAGTGGTCAGTGAACCTTACCGGTTACGTATCACGTCCGAAACACCTCGAATAAGAGTTAGCGCTCAAGCTCGTCTCTTCCCTACCGTCGGTGAACCTGATTTCATAATGTCAACGAACACTGTGCTCACCGATGATGACATCGGCATACTCGAACCCGGAGGCTCGCGGCCTGCGCTCGGCGGGCCTCTGATGACGTCGGTCGCCAACGGGGAAACTTCCTCGTCCGATTCGCGGTACAGGTGTGCCATCAGTCCCGCCGACCCACAGTTCAGTATGAACGACTTCGACCTCGAATCTTGGCCGCAGTCCTTTTCTATGGGCGACATGAGCGGGGAGGACTCGAAGGAGCGCAAAGAAAATAACGAAGAAATGAATCCGCACACCTCGCCGGTAGATGCTCAGGGTGTGTCACACGAGAAGCCAAACAGGCTGCGGTCGCTGCTCATCAAGAAGAGCGGTCCTTCCACCGACGCCAATTCTAACAACCAGATCCTAAAGGATCTCCTCAAACAAGAGGACGAAGAAGCGACCAGTAGTGAAACTTCAGCTCCTCACACACCGCACACTCCTCACACGCCGCAAACTCCGCACACTCCGCATACGCCCTTAACGCCCGCGTCCGCGCGCTCCCCTCTACACTCGGCGCAGGCGCACGCTCGGCCGCCGCCGCTCCACGGCACACACCAGCCCGTCATGCACAACAATCAGTTGCTCAAGGTGAGTTAGAAAAATCTATAGTGTTACACGGGTACAAGTGACCAGTTGCTTCACATTATTGTATATGTTTTAGATACTAAATGACAAATCAGATGAAGATGGAGATGAAAGCAGAAGAAATTCAACGGATAGTTCTCGTGGCCCGTCCCAGACAAGTGTGCTGTCGCAGTTGCTGTCTAACAGCAACGGTCCCTCGAGCAACGGTCGCTCTCAGGAGGGCAGCGATATGTACATGGATAGAATCGCCGGCATGAAAAGGAAGTTTGAGGAATCTAAAGCATCGTCGAGTAATGTCAAACGAGTCACGCCTGAAAATCAGCAGGTACAACTAATTACTACCTGCATTTTCACATACTTAGAAAAGAGACTGATAGGTTACCGTTTTTTCAAGTTCTCAGAGTAATTAAATAAAATGCATTATTAAATGATCGATTCGATGAAGAATCGTGTGATCGATTTTTAATCTATGAAACGAAATTATTGTCATCCATAACATTAACTGAATTCTCAAAAAAAAAAGAAAATCCCCCAGGTATCATCAAGCGCGACGAACGCCGGTAACGTGACGGTGGTGACGAGCGCGGCGTCCGGATCCACGAGTCCCGCCACCAGCAGCGCCGGCATGAGCCCTCTCTGTCAGAAGAACCAGATCCTGGTGTCATTACTGGCGCGGCAGCAGACGACCCCGCCCACGCCGCTGCCGCTCCCCAACACTATACTGCGGTCGTACCCGCCGCGCGCCCGGCCGCCGCCGCTGCAGCCCCCGCACACTCAGATGCAACGCCCGCATCATATGCAGCAGCAGCAACAGCAGCGACTCATCCACCCCACCATCTCTACTGTACTCAACACTAGGTTAGTTAGATAACAGTGATTTACAATATTTTTTTATAATTAGTTTACTTCATTCAATGTTAAATTATTTTCTTGCAGTATCTTAATTTCAACGAAATATCCCCTATATTCCCCTATTGAATACATAATTTAATGATATACATGTTAATAGTAACCGAGGCAGCAGTATGAATGGCGCTGGGCCTGTATCATCCGCTCCTAGCGCGGAGTGTCCTTCCAGTATGGGTCTCCAGACGTCACAGTCGATGCCGGTACAGAGTCACCTTCAGATGGTACTACAGGGTGTGTCGCGGAACTCGTACCAGGCGGGTGTGGCCGCGCAGCCTCACTACGCCGCGCCCTCCCCACATCACCCCTATAATAACCAAGGGTATGGTACACCAGATAATTCTTCTGTGAGTGTGTATGTCACTGAACTTCTCTCAAACGATTGGACCGATTTTGATGAAATTTTTTGTATGTGTTCAAGAGGATCTGGGAATGGTTTAGATTCACAATTTTGCCGCTGGACAATGTTTTTTTAATTAATTTTTAATTTAGTAGTAGTTGTTGATACAAACGTTTTTTTTTTGACATTAAATTTGACAACTAACTAATATGTCAATAATTTTGTTGTACTTCAAAACACGGAGATTTATGGCTTTAATAGATAAACTCCAAAAATATAAATAAAAAAACATAACAGATATTTCTTGATTATAGGGCGATACGAAGTTCGCCGGGTCTTCTAGTAATAGTATATTGTTTAACCAAGTTAAAAAACTTTAATTCAATAACTTCTTCTGTCTTTAATTAGAATATATGATGTATATAACAGGTCGCGGTCCCAAAGCGGTTCCGGAGACAGCGAGGTCCCCAGCGACCAGGCGCTGTCTGATATTCTAGACGAGGTGATCGAGAACATGCCGTACAACGACAGGCCCGCACCAGATGTCGCTATCATGGACATGGATAGTAATCGACAAATTCGATCAGACTATCAGGTACTTGTCATATATGAAATATAAACACTTTTAATATTCATAGTCTATGTGAAAGTGGATTGCAATGTATATAAATTTAATTGCAGGGTGTTAAAGAGAAAAACGCCGTCATAAACGCTATAACGCAAAGTCTCATGCAGTGCGAGACAGCTACTAAGAGTCCTGTGTCGTCGAGTCCCGTCCCGCCGGTGTACCCGGTACAGAGTCCGGTACGTAGAATGAAGGTGTCATACATTATGATAACGGAATGCTGAGTGTGTTTGTTGAAAGGTGGAACACGCCAATATAGTATAAATGGGTACAACTACATACTAGGTCTAATAGTGCTTATTATATTAGTTTTATAATTTTATAGTACTAACATTAGGTTTTAAGTTTTTTCTTACTAACACTCAGCTTTTAATGTATTTTTAATATGGATGTAACTGGTCTGAAATAAATTATTATAATTATTATTATCATGATTAGTTGACGTATTTTTAAAGTGTACATGGTCGTAGGGCTCCGTGAGCGGTCAGTGTAGTATGTCGGGCGGCGTGGGCGTGGGCAACGTGTACGGGCTGGTGTCAAGGGACGCAGACGGAGCCCGGGCCCGCGCCCTCGTGGAACAACAGCGGGCACGACTGCTGCAAATGCAGCGCTCGCAATCATTACTTGTGTCGCCTGAGGTACGAATATGTTTATGACTCAATTTAGAAATTTCAGTCGATGATAATGAAAATTGTAATAAAAATTATTATTCTATGAAAATAATCTTGATTAGGCAGTTATGTGTTTCTGAATTGCAAATTCAAAATGATAAAAGTAACCAAAGTTATTATATGAACATGTTGCAGTCCAAACCGATGGCAATTAAGTTAATCGGTACCTCGTATATCAGGAATTAATTCTGTTTCGTAATAATTGTCATTTCAATAAATATACAAAAGTAATATCAACGGTTTTTCGATAACGTTCTGAGTTTTTCAATGAAACCTTGAAACGAATAAGCGACCTTGACTCGCACTTGTAGGCACTATAGATTTTTTGTGCGAACGATTGCCAATAAAATATGATTCACTAGCCTTATTTGAGTTTCCGTTGTGTTGTTTGTAATTCTAAAGATTTTGTAATTTACATTTAAAAATGGAAGATTTCTTAATATCAATTAGAGGTCTCTCTAAAAATAGTTACGACAAGGATAATTCTAATAATTTGTTATCTGTATTTGTTTTCATTGTTTCTGAATATTTTAATATCATTTTAGTTAATTTATAATTATCCGATTTAATCTAAACTATAAATGTAATCGAGATTACCGTTACATAATTTTATTATGTTCCTATTATAAATAATTGGTTGGAAACACAATTTACACTGTTTAATAAATAATATTGAGTATGTCGTGTTTGTTCAATTGATCGTTGTGGTTCCAGGCCGCAGAGCAGCCGCAGCCCGACCTGGGTTCTACAATCAACGCTCTGGTTTCCGCGACGCCGCCTAACGTAGCCTTAACACGCAACGACTACCATCACTTATATCACCAGCCCAGTGAGTACCGCTAACCAAAGGCATGGCCAAAAAGAATAATATTAACCCATAAAATAAATATTATAAATCTCTCATATTTTCAGATCAAATGGGGACAAACTACGGTACAAATAAATTAACTTCATCTCAACAAAATCCCATGTTGAGTAGACAGCTCGTGAGTATTTAAGATTTATTTGTTCATACATATTGATTTATAATTACAAGCGTTGTAATATGATGTTTGTTTGTCAGGGTGTTGGCGGAAATTCGTACGCAGCGGCGTTACACACGCCGCAAGCGCCGCAACCTTATCATCGAGCGCCGCGCCCGCATCCTGGTAAGACATAGACACACATTCACACACACACACATGTATTATATTTAATTCATAATAAGACAATAGAGATAATCCAATGATTTGGACATAAATATTTGTTCTTAAAACATAGAACAATATCTAACATGTCATATTCCTAATAAAAGTTTATTATGTATATAATAATTATGTAAAAAATATTGCAATATCTAGAGTTGATATAAAGAAAATCTAGCTAAAATATGCATGGGACGAAACACTTATTCCCGTAATGCAAAGTAATATTTAACATATTTTTTTTATTGATCTCAAAATGTAACTGATCAACACAAACATATTGTGTTTTTTAATTTGTGACCTTAGTCATGTATCTAAAGTAATATTTATTTACCTAATGCAAGTAATACAAAGTATTTTATAGTTCTCCAATTATTCAGTCTGATCCAAGGTTTTCTGGTACGCTTATGCATATTATATACTAATTTATTTTAAGGTAGTCCTAGTTTCCTCCTTCTTCAGTTTATTTTAAATCGAGCATGATAATAAGCAGACAAACTCTTCAGCATGCCAAGTAGATATAACGAGAGAGCTTAAGATAATTCCGAAGTCGCATAAAAATTTAATTAACTAATTGCATGTCATGTTTTTATGCCTTCATAATAAACGACTCGTAATTTTACTCTTATGGGTAGAAGTTAGTCATATAGATAGATAGATAGCTTGAGAGAACGGTCGCATGCCCCGTAGAGGCGGTTGGCCGTATTTTCGATAATTCCCAGCGTCCTCAGGGGTTCGGGGGCATTATATCGACGCGGGGAAGGTCGCGCCGGTACCAATGACTCGATCCGACCATTACGGGCGTCCATGTAGGTAGGTTCAGGACGGGTCTCGGTTAGAGTTACTATATGAGGCGTGTGTGGCAGTGGGCGGCTACTATGAGGAGAGCGAGGCGGGGGCCTACTGCGGGGAGTACGGGCGGCGCGTGGCGCACGGCGCGCACCCTCACCCGCACGCGCACCCACACGGCCATCACCCCCCGCACACGCCGCACCCTCCGCACACGCCGCACCCGCCGCACGCCGACCACCAGATGTCATGTGAGTAGCACGAGGCGACCCCCCGAGACAGACGTGTTCATCCAACGACATCCGACACTCCTCACCTGTCATTGACGTCTCCAAGTTGTTGTTTAGAGTATAATGAGATGTTACATAACCTTCCCGAGTGTCGAGGTCCGCCCGCATCCCTCCCGTCGCCCGAGTCGGTACTCGGTTTCGGTAACTGGACTCAGGTAACGAACTGTAGACATGTAGCGATTCTTCTAACTGTCGTCGTGCATGACTATCGATTTATTTTATGCCAAGAAGTATTTTCGCTTTTCTATATTATAATAAGTAAATATGTATCGCGTCGATTGGAGTAACTCCGTATTGGCAATATTTCTAATAATTTGGATCAGTCTGGCGCTTATCTTTTAGTCGTTTGGAACTGGTGTGGCGGCAACGTTGACGATTCTGTGTTTACCGAAGTCTATTGTAACGATGATGACCCCGGGGTGCGTGCAGGTGGCGGTGTGGGAGGTGTGGGCGGCGTGAGCAGTGTGGGCGCCGTGGGCGTGGGCGGTGCGGCGGGCGGAGGTACGTCGGAGTACGTGCGTAACGAGCTGCGCGCGGTGGTGGGCGCGCGGTCAGCCCGGCCCGAGCTTCACGCGCTGCACGCTCCGGACCTCGACCCGCTCCTCAACTTCGACATGCCCGCGCCAGGTTAGTAACTTAACAAATCACCGTCTCCTCTTCAACTCACTCTCTCTCTCTTTCTCCTTTTCTCTCTTCTCTCTCTTTCGACGTGGACACGTTCGTTGTTGCGAACCATCTTCGAACGAGCGCTGTGCGTCCTTTATCTACCATAACGATGTGCTTATTAATACATTTATTTGTATATAATTGTACTATTATTGTAACAATTAACATATAAGGAAGAATAATTTTATTCGAGTAAAATAATGTCGCAGTAAATATATTACATTCCAACGTGTAAACTTATTTGACAGATATGTGTATAGACTAGAAGTACAGTTTTATTGGGAATTAACTTTTTTATTGACCATTAAACATTTTTGTTGGCTGTAAATAACAAATAGAGACCGACAAAATGCACACAAAAAAGTTTTTTTTTTTCTAATAAAAATCATTTCCGTTATCTGTATTTGTCGCTCCGCTCTTTCTTTATTTTGAGAAACCTTTATTAAGTTTCGAGAAAGTAGATCGCCGTAGGACTTTTTTTTGTTACATAAAACTAACAATAAAAATTAACCATCAAAAATTCAAAAACTTCAAAAAACTATTACTTGCAGAATTTTTTTTCAATCTCAATTTCCAGTAATTCAAGAAATCTAATTTCATCACCATTTAAGCTAGTCTATACTCTAAGAGCAAAGTAAAATAAATCTTGCCTGAATATTTCACAATCATAGCTCGATATTGTTTTGTCCTAAAGTCTATGGCCGCCTTAGTTTCTTTGTCTATACCTTTATATAGCATAATATATATAATATTTCCTTATAGAAAACATTCTGTTAAACAGAGACAGTCTATTATAGAGACCGTCCGGTGTTATAAGACACAGATCAATATATTGTTAAATAGTTGTTATATTAAATATTGTAGCGAGATCAAAATATGCCGACAAAACATTGTCAGTGTGGTAGTTGGTCGCTGGCAATGTATCCGTGTGTACGTATGTAGGTGGCGGCGGTGTGGTGGGGGGCAGAGCGGCGGCGACACCGAACGCCTGGGAAACGCAACAGACAGCGGTAAGCCAGGGACGCGACCAGAACTAAACAAACTACAACAAAAAAAAACATTTAGTCACTACACCACTTCTATCGGTTTCTTTTTCCATTATTTACGTAGACAAACCTATGAATTACGTATTGAGTCTGCTCTGCTGCGTGTTGTCGAAACGATCATCATTATATTAGACGCTGATTAAGTGAAATGTGCCAACGTTTGTTGCATTTATCTTTACCCTCAATGACTGCGTATATATGTCGCTAACACATAGTTTACGTGATCGTGACTTTAGATATCGGAGCCATTGAGATGTTCTACATTATAGAATATAGACATACATATTAATTAAACGAAGTAGTACTTTCAACGAATTGGTACATTTCCAAATTTTTCGACGAGGCTTATGTGATGTGATGTACAATAATATTTCTTATAGAATATTATTTAATAATTATGTAATTTGCATTTTGATATTATATTAGTTTAAGTGATTCATGACAACATGGATAAGTCATCGCTTACTAGGTTTCTCGTTTCTGTGATTTCAGCTTATTACTGAGAAATGGGGTAATTCGCATGCGCAAGTGATAATAAATAAGGTGGTGGTTTATTTTATTAAAGTGTAGTTATATTCTAAATTTTTATGATTTTTGCCACTAGACAGCTTCTTGTTTCGCTTCTAAAGTGTTGTAATAGCATACGAATTATTTCGTTGATCCGAGTGCCGTACTTTTATAAGCCATTAAGATGTATGCATGATGATTCCTTTAATTTCAGCAATAATTGAGGTGCGATTAAAAATTATATTACTTTTGTTAAGTTTAAACTTTTAAATATTATTATCTGCTTCGGGGATGAGTATGTGATAGCAGCCATTGTATAGTTATAAAATTCTGTTTATATTGTATTTAAAATATATTCCTGGAATAAATACTTTTTTATCGTTCCTCATAAGACATATTCAATTTAAACATTCATTAAAAAAAGTAACCAGAAGTACCGGAAAGAGTTTTGCAATATATCCAAGTCAATAATGTTTTGATGGATAAAAATTGAAATTTCAAAATTCTACATTCTGATTGGATTAGTCCGATATCAAAATCGTGTATCCGGGAATCGTTCTAAAAATTAACAAAATAGTAGTGGCATTATCTTGAAAGTTAGCAATCGCTATTTCAGAGTACTACGGAGGAGGTCTCGGCGGCGGCGGGGCGGGGGGCGGCGGCCGGTGATGAGGAGCCGGCTGCGGCTGGCAACACGCCCGCTAAGGCATCACTGCTACAGAAACTACTGTCGCAGTGAGAACACATTACACCCCCCACCCCAACCACCACAGATACAATACTACCCCCCCACTGCATTTATAGCTGCGCGGGAGCACGTACGCCGTCTCACGGATAGTGATGTAGTTTAGTAGTGCTAGTGCTGTAACGTTCTATGATCCACTGTCGATTTGTATCCTTATATGTTCTATGAGAACTCGTTTTATTGTAAGTCTTTAGATGTATGTATAGTGTATGAGGATCGGTCCGACGAATACGACGGTAGCTTCCTGTGAAGGAGTAAAATATGTGATCGGCAATTTGATTGACTCGTACGCCTAGTTTACATATACAGCAGACACACCGCGTGCAATATTGTATAGAAATATTAGAACACATATTTTTTTTGGCGTTGTGAACGTTATGTATTATAGTGTGAAAGTCAGATGTTACCTGTTATGACAAAGTTAAGTTGTATTCTTTAGTATTGATGGAACGAATGTTGTTCTCTCGTGTACTATGCTCGTGTGGAGTAGACGGAGAGCGATATTTTTTCATGAATTTATTTTGTTTTATAACTGAAAGCTGACGGAAAGCCTTCGTCTATTTTTGTAGCATAGTACGCGGGGGACGTATGTAAATATCGTGTTGTTAAATTATAGCAATTGCTTTAGTGTAAATAATTTGTTAAATATTATTGTGTTTCTTATGTTATGGTATATTAATTTTCTTGTAATAATACAAAAACCTTTACTGATTTTATTAGTTTTTTTAAACTACTATATTATTATTTTTTACAAACTTCGTATTTTTTATTTCATTTGCCTTTGTATTGACATGCTTTATTGTATAGAAGTTTCGTATTTCAATCATTTACTTTTGGAAAGTAAATTGTTTGATGTGAATTTAATTTTTATATCTTAACCGGGATCCTGGATCTCCGGTTTAAAAGAGCCTTTAATCTTTCTAACATTCGTTGACTGAAACAGTATATTATATCTTGTTATAAAATTACCAACGTTTCTAATACTCATTACTAATCCGTATAAAACGCAGCAACTGAAATAGCTTTGTTGGAACAAAACTATTTGTATAATGTCAATAGTCAATGAATTGATAATTTTATTATTATTATTTACTAGTTCTTGTGTCGGTACGTCATCGTTGATAATTTGTAGAATGATAAATAGTGCATGGTAACTTTGATGTAAGTATGAAGCGATTTTTGTGCTCAATTAATGTCTTAAATTAACTGTAGTCTTCGTTACCGTTAGCGTTGGCAGCGAATTTGCATGCATGCGTGTATGCGTGCGTGCGTGCGTACACGCGTGAAGCGTATTAACAAGAAATGATACAAGAGTATCGAATCGATTAAGAAAAAATATTAAGAACAAAACAAAACATTTATCTGCTTTCAATATGTAATCTTAGTTCCCTACAATTAAATCTTTCACTATAAAGCTAATCTCACACTATCAATAACAAATGGTCACCTTTGCATGTAAAGTTTTACATATGCACTGACACGGTAACGAAGAGCTTTCGCCATATTTTGCGATGATTATAATTTGGTATGCTTACCGAGGCCTGCTTATAGTGGACCCAATATTAGTGGGCCCATTATTCAGTGGAATTCAGCGTCAGATAAACACTTTTGTTAGAGCTGGTAATATGTAACGTTCGTATTTCGTGGTCTCGACATAATCTATTCAATTCACATAAAATTATACTAAATAAATTAAAGTCATTTAAAACTTAGCGCACCAATTTAATGTGAAATGTTAGATTCTACGACAGTAACTCAGTGTTACTTAATATTTACGATTAGTAATCATAGGAATTACTGGAACTAAGTTAACACGAAATTCTTCGATATAATTGTAAATCGCACAATATGAATATGACGTTTTAAGATTAATTAAAATTTTTAAATTAAGTATTAATGTGAGACTGTCGAAGGACGTTGTGTGATCTGGTGAAACGAAACGCAGTAATCCGTTAATGTTCGGGACCACTACCAATACTGATACAACCCGTCGCCACACTTCATCGCAATCTGCTTCTTTTCTCTCTATAAAAGACGTTGTACTATAACATCATTATACTATTTTTATACTGTCGGTTAAAACTGTTGAAATGTATGCTAAAATATTTTATAAGAATTAACATCGGAAAATAATATCTGTACTAAATTACTTACTATATTCATTGGCTAATGGCAGTTGGCTAGTTAACAGATGTAGGCAGAAAATGTTGCATTATTTGATATTTATCAAGATGCCGCCTCCCATTGACGTGATTGAGTACTTTTTTAAATGTCTCTGAAAAATCTAAAATTTCAGTCTGCCGCTAGCACTTACGAAACAAGTAAACAACGTCTTCTGTACCATAGATATAGAGTTGAATATACATTGTAAATGTATATCGTGGATATTACCTACCTAAAGATGAGAATGTACAAATAAAATGTAGACTATGCATAAAAATAAATCACAAAAAAATAAATAAGAAATATATTGATATTTTTATACCGTAAACGTTAATAAATCTGATGTTAAGGGCTACTGACCAAATCTCATTGGTGTTAAAAAAAAAGTTCGATCAACTCGCGAAATGTTTACATTGAATAGTGAGATGAAGCTTTACGAAATCCAACAAATGTAGCAATATGATATTTCATTCCAATTAGTTGATGCCGATGAGACTAGCTCGCGCGGTGTCTGTTAGATGAACCGATTCCATAAAGTACAAGTGATGGCCTTGCTAGGTACATGACTGAGATACCAATACTTGAACAAATTAGTCAAGTCCTTACTTATAAAAGAAATATTGGAAGCATATTTATTGGATTGTTTAGATGGAACAGCATTTAATGCCGTCGCATAGTTTTTGACGTCTCGATGTGGACTAAATGTATTCAAAGAAGGTTATATTTTTTACAGTTTTACATAATATAAAAAAAAAATAAATAATAATAAAAAAAATAAAATAAAACTCGTATAACAAACAACACGTCCATTGCACGAGTTCATAATCGGTTATCTCGAAAATATTATATAGTTGATAAAATAAAACAGTTATTAATGCATGCGTGCCTCAATATAAATTGTGAAAATATTTTTCAATACCATCTTTAATATGAATTTATGCCAGTGTATATGATGTAAGATGTAGTATAGCTCTTAAATCACTTCCGTAATGAAGGACTGTTGAACTTTCAAACGTTGTTGTCTATAAATAGAAAAAAAAATGATAAATAATTTTTTTATTATAATTAATTATTCTCACATCGAAATCGAAGCGATCAGGGATATAAGAAATTAAGATTTGAAATACATATTTTTACATTACTGTACTGATATCCGTTAAATATTGTATCATTTAAGTCCGCTGCAAGTTACGATTTCATAAGAGAAAATTAACATTCAAATTATAAAGTATACTGTATTCCTATCCATTTAAATATAGATGTATTTTAGTCTTCCAAAATATCCTTTTGAGTTCCACCTTTATACCAATTTTTATTCGATGTCCTTCATACCTGTTTAAATTTTTTGTCAAATTATATTTTAGTCATTGTCTTTGTAGCTGTCAGATACAACACATGTTATGTGATCGGCAAATAAAATAACCAACGAAAATGTATTCCTATATGATAAATAAACAAATATTTTGATAAATGAAACATTGAACTGTTTAATTGGTTTTATTAAATGTAATTCATACTATATGTATGTTAATAATAGTGTAGACTCGGTCTCAGACTCGAGTCTCTGTCTAATGTTGTATACCTCCTGGTGATGTTTGTAAAAATAAATGCCGTGTTTGATATTGAATGGAAAGCTTCTAGTTGTAATCTTATGTGCGACCGATTTTTCAACATATTTTGTTTTTAAAGTACATAATGTTTAAATATCATTTTATTGTAGGCTGCTATTTTAATGTTGTTGTAAGATTTATTGTCATTTCAGAACTATTAGACGTATCTTGTAGATCATGTATATATCGGCATGATTCGATTTTAAATGATATTTGGTCAAATAATTGGAAATGTTATGTATAATTCGAAATTTTATGTAACTAACTGATTTAATGATAATTATTTTTGCATTCAAAGTTGTTTTTTTTTTGCTCGTCACAGAGTATCGTGTAACTTGCTACAAAATAATAGGGTCCAAATTTTCCATCCAATAAAACAGCAGATTATATAGATTGGACTGTAAGAATGTGATATACTGATATTTCAATGTAAATTAATCGTGGTTCATTACTCTGTGACGTTGTGATAGGATACATGTACTGTAACAGAGGAGGAAACATTGATGTGTACGGGAATCTTTGTTTCAGTGAGAAAACATAATTAGTATATAAAGTTAACAATAATCTTCAATACACCGACGAAACAAAGCGTGAGTCGTGTCCACCACACGCTACAAGTTTTATGTTATTACTCTGTAGATAATAATGTGTGATAAATATTATATTTATAGTTAGATGACAGTCGCTAACACAACGAGGTAACCACACTCCCGTACAATGTTGATTTTATTTTTTGTATAAAATCGTGCCTCTTGTCTTGGCCTGTCGTCTGAGAGCAGGGGTTATACTGTATATTTTTAGATATAAATGTCACTATTAGATAATGTTAATAAAGCTAATTATGTTTTTTCTAAAAAACGATTAAACGACTAATATCTGGGCCAGCTGCAAAAATGATTATCGCTAGTCTATGATCTATAGTTATAGTAGGTATGTGTTTGACACAGAGTTACGGGTGGGTTAATGTTTATCAGCTTTATCAACGTATCTAATACCCGAGTCTCGGACAGACTTAAACTTCATTTAATATTATATAGAGCTAACTAGTCTTATCGCGAGCCGTAATCTTTTTTGCGGATGGCCTTTAAGTCTGTGTTATTAAGTTCTTGAGATGTTAGTTAGGCTCTTTTGTGTTGCTGTGCATTTCTAAGCAGTGTATGTATGTTTATATATTGTAAATAGCTAAACATATATTTTTACGACTAGAATACACAACCAAAGTTGTTATAAATATGTGGTTGATTAAATAATAAAATCGATATAGGTCGTTATGTTTATCATTATGTAGAAGTTCAACTATGATCGCGTAGTTGTATCGATACAGAACCATGTCTCGTCGAAGCCTTTTAAGTAACCGCCCTGATATTAGTAAAACGAATTTATTGTTTCCAACTGCATATGAAATTTGATATACATTAAAATAAAATACAAATTCATTGAAGTAACTTACATTATAACAGATGTGTAATTTTTTATGAGAAAATTATAGTATCTTTTTTTGTTCCTAATAGCTTGCTCCAAACGTTTTTTATCACTAATTGTCAATTAATAGCTGACATTTCGAATATCTGAAAGGTATTTAATCTGTTTTTTTATCCATCGACAAAAGCAGGCGTTAAGAGTACATTACTTTTAAGTTGTATTTTTTTGTACATTTTAGATTCGAAAATATAATTATATCTAAATGATAAGTGGTTTGATTTACTGAACCCTATATATATTAATCTAGTAATATAAGGAAATTTGACTATTTTTTTTTATGAGTATAATATTGGTACATTTTTAATACATGGCCCTTCTTCGACGACACAAGCAGTGGCGGCTGGTGGGTTATCGAACTGGTGGTTCACTTTACTAAAATATTGATAAAAACAACAATTGACATAAAATATGTTTATTTTTTGTACATTAATTCATAACTATATCCAACTCTGATACAAAGTCTATTAATCCACGAAACACTCCAGCATTACTGGACTCAATAGTTTCATCGTGACCTCGCAAAGCTAACTCAAATGCACCACAAAACTTGACACAATCGATAAGACGTGATAAAATGTATCTGTTTTATCAACTTGTTTATTATACTTTTGGATATTACTTCTATACACAGAATCTAGCTGATTACGAATATCGACTGTGCCTAACACAGACAAACTCATTACATTTTGTAGGTGTACTTGTGAAGAATCGTGTTTTTTATTTTTTACTTAAATGCGTCAAATCCTTGATTCCAGTTTCTGTCCAAATCGATTCTCCGCCAAAAATAATGCAAGGAAAACAAAAGAATGCATTAAGACGCTCACATCCACACAACCATTTCTTTCTATTATACATTTCACTTTTAAAACTTCGTATAAATGCTTTATTTTTCGATTTACACTCTTGTTTTAAATTTAAAAAGGGCCGTGGCGGCCCGGCCAATTTTATGTTCACTTTACTTTGAAAAATTTTGTTATTTTCTTTAATATAATCAATATTTATACTCATTTTCAACTAATAAAAAACACAGTACAGAATAAAAGTTCTATTATAGAAACGAAATAAAAACTAAAACGAATTACGGAAATAATTATAAACAATAACGAATTAACGCGTCACGCATACAGTGAAAGTTGAAACAATACCAATAACGATTAACGAAATGTCAATCATAGCACCCATCCTTTCGGCCGGCCCCTTGCCGGCCGGCTCAATACGTCATACATCGGGTGCTCTCGGTAACCTTCGGCCGCTTCGTGCGGCGCGCGAGAACCGACTCGTTACTCGGTACATTTCTATGAACTATCTTTTGTCTCACGCGTCAGGCGTATTAATGCGTGTCTCATACAAGATGTATTAGCAGTCCTCGTGCACTCGCCGGAGCGCACGATATGAGTTTAGTAAAGCGCTCAAACTTTTTGACCATAATTGGAAATTAAATTTTTTATATCTTTTTGTATGTTTAAAAAATAAATATTAAAATGGTAATTTAAAAATTAAGATGACATAATATTTTGTAATTTTTAAATATTTTGAATTGGTGGTTCAGCGCACGGGCGCACTTAAGGTACAGCCGCCACTGGACACAAGTATTACAATAATAACATTTAGAATTTAAATTTCCAATATAGTATGTTTATCGTTATAAAAATAAAATAATCAAACAAAGATGACAGATTTATGTATTCAGATAGAAGTCGTCACGCAAAATGATGTGAATATTAATAATTCAGATGCTTGTACTTAGTGTCCGTTTGTGAGATCTGCCAGGCAAAAGTATCCGAAACTATTATAAAGGTAAGTTATTAATAACTTTATATATTCTATATTATCATATCATATTCTATATATATTCTATATTATCAACTTTGGAAAAGAACGTGTTAGAGATTTGGTTTTATTCTTATTGTTGTTCAGCACTATTTATGTAGGTATGTTCATGCCTTTATTTCTGTGTACTAATAACATATCAAAGTACTAAACACATGAATATGGATAACATAATTATACTGCGTTTACTATCAAAATAATATATTATGTACTGTAAAGTATGAAACGCGCATGTGCAATTTAACTAGATACGCAGTCAGTAGTAGTTAGTAACAAAAAGGTATTTTAGATTTTAACTTTTCATGTGTTGGCTGGCTGCATGCCTATAAAAGTTAGGGTGACATAATAATTTATAATATTATAGGTTTCTACTGTCGCTATTTGGTTTAGGTGCTTACTAAAAAATACTCATAATCTACCAGTTAAACACTAGTTCTGGTTTAAGGATCTATCGTTGAGTTTTAATAAATCTAGGAATAAATATAGCTTTAAAATTGTCTTTGATGAAGGTGCGAAATAAATATTAGACTGCGTTTATGACTTACATTATAATTGTTTTATTGAAATAATCCCTGGGTTAACGAGCATTATATTTAAAATGTATCTACTAATATTTATAAAAGACAAGAATTGTCAATCTTTTCCATTATCCGACGATAAAATTATTACAATAATTTTGTGGTTTGACCAAACATATTCTTACAAAATGAGAATCTTCATATCCTTACCAAGCCCTACTCTATTTATACCTTACAATTGTAAATTACTACACACATTCGCCACATCTCACATCAACCTATTTTCACGATTCGCTTTAAATGATGCCAAGAAGATTAGATCACTGGTGCAACGTTTAATATTAAATATGAATGAGTATTGTACATATTAAATGGCATGAAAATTATATTTACGCATAATTAAAACATCACAGTTCAGAGAGGTCAGTCAGCAACTTAATATTTCTTTTCATACCTACTTCATTGTTCAGTCGTGTGTAGGTGGCAAGTACTAAACTACTTCACGATGTGACTTAATTCAGAGTTCGAGTGGTATACAATGGAAAATTCTTTTTACGGAGTCATTATAACGTTATGCCTGTTAATATTGTTTAACTATATAAAATATTATACAACAAAGTCAATAAAATGTTTGTTTATTTGGTGGCGCAGTTGGAAAAAAATTAACACTGAAAAATGGGTACGTAACTAGTTAATATTTTAGATATAGGTACTTATTATAAAATTACTACGATCAATTATAATATTTCATTCATTTTTTGCGAACATTTCAATCAAACTTAATATAAATATTGGCGTTAAATCAAAAGTGTTACCAAACTAAAATTATCATTTTAGGTATGTAACATACATTCGGCATATTTTTCTAAGGAAGTTTGTAATTAATAAATCTTTATAATGACAAATAATATTTTTGTCCAAATATTCCACCTAGATTAAGTACTGATTTATTACGATATAATTATTGATTCTGATCTAAAGTTAATTCAAAACAATGATATTGTAAAAAGTTCATTACAGATCTACATAATATATTAGAGTATTTCAAAAAATTATATTTTTTAAAGTTTTTACAGTATTTAAAAAATATATATTATTTAACTTTACATAATGAACTCATCCATGAACGACGGATAAAATAAAAATAATGTTTACGCTTTTAATATTTTTTTATTAGTTGTATAAAATAAATGTTATGTGATAAGAATCATCTTTAAACATCTGTTCACAAAATCTAATAGCTAGTGAAAACTTTAATTAAAATAAAAAACTCCTAGAAGTCTTACTCATAAAGAAATAGCAAAAAGAAACATAATATCTGGTGTCTGCCTTAGTATCTTCTTAATAACCACAAGCACTTGAGAAAACAGTTACAGTGAAATCACGAACAGACGCTTAAATTTTCGATAGCTAAATGAATGAAATTTACCATATACTTAGTACTGTAGAAAATATTTTAGTTAATTTTCACGTATTACAGATTTATTTCAACCAAGGACTAAGAAGGTGTATATTTTTTATGCGTTTATTCGCCACTTATATTAATAGCTAGTTGACTTCAACTTGATTTCTTTTGAACATTAATGCTTAGCTATACCAAAATTTATGTTTCCTAAACCATTTTAAGCTACATAAAGATAAAACAAGGTCTATATTGGATACTTGCGTAAATGCTAATTGAGTCTCATTAGTGCATATAACGTCAATAGCTGAGGTATATTAATTGACGAGGTCAAATGAAAATGTTCTATAATTACACTAAATACTCGTTACACATTTGAATTTACAATTGTTTGTGTCCAATTATATAATATTTACATTACATTCGAATGTATGTTGTTGCGTAATTTCAATATACCTACATTTTATTGGTATCTTTCAGTGCATATTTAAGTGCACGCCTCGAAATAAAAACGAGCAAATCTCAGAGAGGCGGGACACCGGGATAAGACGGTTCCATTATTATGAATTCAATAAACAGTAGCTTGAGTCGGTCCCGGTTGCCTAGTTGAGAGTCGTCCGGCTCTTCGTTCGCACGCATGCGTACGGTCCTGTTGCACGCACCCAGTACATCGCCGCGATCGGTTTATTTACTATTATGATGAATATATAACTTCAAAGCTATGCGCTCTTATCATAATCTCTAAATTTAAAATTTGTATGGTATATTAATTTTATAATGACTACCAACAAAACACAGTCAGCTGTTTAGCTCTACAATAGAAATGCCCTGGAACTGTCCGTGGTCTCGCGAACGCCAGCGTCCGCCAGTTGATGCTCCACTTCAAATATTACCACAGGTTGGTCAAATTATTTTTTTATTGACATACATCTAAATAATTTCATTTAACTCCAAAAGTAATGTATGTTTGATTATGCGAAAATTGTTACATAACCCAAAGTTGAAAAATATTTCTATGAATTTTCCGTTTATATTGTAGTTTTCTTGAACAAGATATAAACAACGTTTTTTTTACCAGAAATAAATGTTAATAATAATAATGCCATAGTCATAAAAAAATTTCTTAGTTGTGAAGTCTACTTAGCGGGAAAATCCTCAAAGATAATCTTCTTTAAACATAATTCTGTAGATTGTGTTTAATGGATTCAAAGTGTTGTATGCATGTTAATGACAAATCTATAAAATGATGTGGTCACTTATATTGTATTGGGGCAGATACTCGCTCCTTTAAAATATTAAATTTATAGGCGGACAAAAAATAACCACGAGTACTTAAGTAAAAATCTATCAATATAAAACATGTCTTATGACAAGGCATTTAGTGTTTCTTTTCTTTGTTAATGTAAAGAAAAAAAATGAATACTTAACAATGACAAGTTATAAAGTGCTAATCGGAAAGTTATTAAAATGCCAAGAGATTTTAATCTGGCTGACTCCGTTAAGTTATTTCAAAAGTGTATAAATCTTTTCCTTTTCGCCCGGTGAGGTAAAATATAGAGCCTTATTTTTTTCAGTAAGTAATCATTGATGAAAGCGAATCAGCTGGGTACGAGTGTCAGTTATAAGATAGACACGCTCTAGGACGCTCGCGTTTCGGCAAACCAGCATTTAAAATTATTAAACATGTAACATGTGCGGTAATAAATTTAATTTGATAGTCTTTTTAAAATGAAAAATGCCTTGGAACTGTTTTTGGGGATACGAATCTCCACCGCCTGTTTGCCGCGTGAGTGGCCCGCTACATCTTATATTAAAGGTATTTTTTTCTTAATTATCATTAAAAAATAATATAAAAAAACGGTCGTTTTTGCTTTTCCACAATAGTTTTATCTAGAAAAATGTACATTTGTTATAGCTGCGGGAATAATTATCGGTAATTTAATGGTCGCGTATTTTTATGGTCGTTATTTTTATAATGATATCGTGACTTGACATTAATTTTTTTACATACTTTTTGTGTTTTGACGTAAAATAACCAACATTTACTGCTTTGGTGACTTTCAATAAATATTTTCGAATATATCTGGAGTTATACATAAGAAGAAAAAATATATAAATATACATTTTTGGCTTCCAATTACATTCTACTCGATACAAAAAAAAAACTAATTTTTCTCTAGATTTTATTACAGTTAGAAGTCTTTTGTGAGTGGTTCCTATTGTGAAACTGAATAACGAGGGCACTCTTTATAAATTAAAATAAGTATTCTTACTAACTCAGTACTTAAGAATTGGATACATTTGTCATTAAATGACATATTACTTATATGTCCGTATAATTAAAAAAATCGGCTATATTGTTAGAAAGTTTATTACCAACATTTTTTATCAAAAAAGAATAGGTTTTCTCCCACGACCGGTCAAATTAAAGCACTGGGCTATAATTGACTGTTCGTGGTCCAAATGACCACAGTGGCAGTTCATTTCTTCTATTGGTCGTAAATACGTAGTTCCTTACGCGAACATGATGGCTACTTATGATGAAAATGATGGCTATTAACAATTTATAACGACGACGATAAGCGTTAAAGTCCTTCCTATAATTTTTGTTTGTCTTTTTAAACATTGAATATTATTTTTACTGATATTAAATATGCGTAAAATTAATTTTGCTTAAGTTGGGAATAATTAAGCTATCAATTTTCAATGAGTTTTAATTTAAATAAACGTTTATCGGTAACTTTAGCTAAAGTAATATATATATATGCATTTTTCGAAAATAACATTTCAACACTTGAAATTAGATACTTACAAAACGTTTTCCCCCTAAAATTGATAAAAACGTAAATTAGTACCAATGTGAATTTGTTAGCGTATTAATTACACGTTATCGCAGTTTCAGAACGTAATACAAGTTCAGGAAGTTTAAATTCGGGCAGGAACATTAATTAATGGTACAAACGTTTAAATTTACAAAGTACATATATTTTATAAAACGGTGTAGGATATTATATACAAGTGGATAAACTTGATGCTTATTTAATGTGTTTATAAAACCAGTGCAATGTGTTCATCATCATGTTTGCATCCACCTATTATTTGAGATTGAAGTAATAATGTTGTAACCTCGAGCACAGGTTATCGCTAGTGCAAGCACCAATGTGATAGTTTATTTTTAAAATTATCACCTTGTTTGCGTGCATCAAAATGTTCAATAAATTATTTTGGAAGATATTGTACGGTCTCTTGAAATGAAAACAGTTGTTTAATACTCATATATTATAATAATTTATTTAAAAAGGAGGATTAAGTCTTAATAATGTTCTGTATCAAGAGGTAATGTTTTTATTTTTAAACATCTCCAATATATTTTAAGAGTCGTTAACTATGGATGGGAATTCGATGTTTTGTCACATGCGCACACGCAGACTTAGTTTCCAAAAAGTTGCGCAAGAACAAGTGCGCCGCCCACGGCTCCGGGGGCCGCCTCGACGTTAAGTTCACTGTCACCCAATACAAACATACCAAATAACCGCTTAACCTTTGTGAAAATTCAAACAATTCAATGGTTTTAGGGCAACGCGCTTGTATTAGTCAGACGTACCTTTTGACCTATACAAATGAACGTTAACTGATTAGGACACGGAACATTTCCGGGATTTATTTGTAAGTACTTAATTGAACTATATCTATAACTTGAATATATAGTCGTGTTCGTCTGAGCGATAAACGTTTTGAATGAATGAATAGATCCATAAAATACTTCATTGTTTAATGTTTTAGATGTTCATCTATATATATTCTATACAGTATAGTATAACTGTGTCGAGTTTATAAGTTAATTAAGAGCATGTGTGAGTATCTATGCGTTGCGGACAAAAGCTCTTTCAGCGGGCGGCGCTTTTGTGAGACTCCTTGTAATTAGCCAATATACCTACCAATATAACATCACATGTAACGGTTTTGTTCTGCATGATGCATTCTAATTACAGACTAACTAACTCCGCTCCAATTTGTAGTCTTATTTTTAATTCATATCTCAACGAAGTTGCTTAAAACATCAACCTAGATTCCTGTTCGCTGGTATTTATTTTAATATCCCCAAAGTGAAGTAACCTTTCAGAGGAATAAGGGTAAGGCTTATAAATATATATTATAAAGATACTTAAAGTTAAGTGTTATAATTTATTTTGAACTACATCAAAAGTGAGTGCATTACTGTTTCGTTATGAGCATTGAAACGATAACAATGAGAGGCAAGAGGTATGAGTAGTGATGTAACGAATGAAACGTTCCCATGAAGTCGATCAAATATTTTATATTTTATCAGTAGAAAAATTAAACCATATAAGATATATCCGAAAGTTAGTTGTGGTTTTTTTATTATTCAAATACTTTTACGACTTTTTGGCTTTGGAATGTCTATACAAATTTAACATATAAAAAAATATTTTAAATATGTATTGTTTTTTAATATAATAATGATATTATTTATCATTTTCTTTTATTATAACTGTATTTTGTCACCGCTAATAGGAGTAAATATTTGTGTTCAGTTAATCCCTAGTAAGGACGATTATTGCGGCAAGCCTTTGGAATCACAAAATGATTTACGATGCATTCCTTAGTGCAGCGGAGTCCAGATCTAACGCAGCGGCCCCACTCTGGAACAAGATTAAACATTCGTTTGATGATTGACGAACATTGTTGTCACACTCAATATTGTTTGTATTCTCGCCTCGCCTAGACGCAAAGAGACGTGTTAGTCATAGTTTTATTTAAAATGGAACTGTGACTAAATAGTTTATCGGAGATCTATTTGAATTGCATCTCACATTTAAATAAGCTATATATGTACTCTTGTACGTCTTATAATAAATAATCTAGAACAAGATTAGCCGAACAATATGTAGTAAGGTAACATAAGGAAATTTTGTCATGATACATGTCAGAGTAAGTCCTAGATAGAAATTCAACTAAATTGTACATAGGTACATGCTGGCTTTGATTGTATGAAGTGTTTATTACAATAATCGTGTGAGATTTTGTTAGATTGGTTTTCCAAAACATATTCGTAATTGTTATTGCAACCGGATGTTGCGTAGTACAGGAACCGACTAAAGAGCGTCGAGTGACCGGAAGTCGGGCGAGGGGTCAGCTCGCAGTTACTTGAATATGCCTCTGGTAAACAAAACTAGAGTCCGGCTCTATTATTAGGAGTATGTCGACAAATTTTAATGAACTCATAATAATTTCGATAAAAAAAAACAGAAACAAAAAGATGAAATACAGGAAAATATATCTGAATACATCTCATTATTACTTGAATGTGATTTAATAAGTTTTTTTTTCTATTACTCTTTTTTTTCGTTTGAGAACTACACAATAAGCTCGTGCAGTCATGCTATGTAATTACGTATAGAGTTACAATTTGTATAATATTTCATCGCTGAAATTTTAACTCCAACCGCAGAACATAAGGTCTTTGCAAAAAAAATATCACGCTTCGTGAAACATGCGCGCCAGTTGCCAATCTGCGCTTGTTTGACAAATAAAAAACATATAGCTCCAGCCAGGACATTCCAGAGGACTTCGTTACATTCAAGTGTCAATAGCATTTGTTGCTTTAAATGCGGCATGTAACTCGAATTGTACGGTCCCATTAATCAAATTCACTGAATGGAAGTCATAAAATAAAATTTATTCCCATATTGGTACATAAACAGGACCAAAAATAAGCACGACCACCTGGCACAGCGTTTCCAACTAAGAGTACAGGCACGTTATTTATGAGACTTAAAACTGTACACAATGTAACCGCAAAAGTAACCCTTGACTAGTTTTTCTAGAGAACAAATTGTCCCTCATGTCAAGAGCGCGCTGGGCTACAATGAAGTG